ACTGACTTCCCAGCATGGGTAAGCGCGCGGTTAGATCGGCACACAAGCACTCCTGAAGCGATAGATAGTAGGATTAAAAAACTGTTGCCTMCCTGCCGTATCTGCTTCTGGTACTCGGGAGCTTTTTTGAGTAGCTTTTGTAAATCGCTCATCTGCATAAAAAAATYGAGCAAAAGGAATTGTTAATGTTCATGGAAAGATCACTTATAAAGACTTTCACTGAGMCCTCTCAATCTTGTTTCAAACGTCGAATCTTACTTGTACYCAATTTAATTCAAATTGCTTTAATCCTTTGCCTCTGCTACTTGCATTGAATTCGACAGAAGTAAGATTCGACGTGCGAGCCAAGCCTTAGTATGAAACAGAACATGTTGTTGACAAATGACTTGCCAGGAATCAAACTAGTACTTGACATCCTAAGCATGATTTRCTGAGATAGAGATACATAAAAATACCTTATTATCTGACATTGGTAGTTTTTCTTTCTCGCTAAAGTTTTTGATATCCTCAGCTATCATTCTGTAAAGAATACCAAAGTGTAAAATACAACGTTTTCAATAGGTAATGGTCAGCTATGCCATTTTGTGCAACAAAGGATCATGGGAGTTATAGTCTAGTTATACAGTCCTCCCAAAGTGTCTTTGTTTTTGCAAAAATATAAGTAGTGGCTCTGTTTTTACAAAGRAAACAGCTTTGAATGAAAATTTTTAGGAGCTTTAAAAATAGGTGCTATTGGTGTGAAGCCACGTGACCATAAACTACCTGGTTGCGTCAGCTATATGAAGGTGACGTAGTTTGACCCATAATTCGTCATTTTCTGAAAGTAAAATCATACTAATAAAATGAATCAACGAAGTTCTTCACGGCTATGATCAACTCTCTTAGACATACCATCAAGAAGTGCTTCTTTCMAACATCCCTGACCYCCTTCACCTTCACCAGTTCCGCTTCTAAAGCAATATTTTGTWCAACAATATTARCAATTACAACTAAATYKGGATTCAGTCATTCAATAGGCAGCGACGCCATTTTGTGCTGCAAAGCATGATGGGAGTTGCACAGATCCCATCATGCTTCACTGTACAAAATGGCGTCGTTGAACAAACAAGCTTACTCGTATTTGAAGACATCATTTTCAATGTCTAGTAGATCATACGCCATGGCCTAGAAATAAAGACAAATTATTTTTACCAACTTTAAAATCCCGAATAACAGAACACGGTTCCCTGTGCCATCTTGAAAGGTAGCCGTGCCTTTGCATCGAAGCGAGACAACCGTTGAGCGTGCAATGATAGAAACCTGTGAATAATTGTCTGTAGGTGTGAAAGAAGGTTTCTATCATTGCACGCTGAACGGTTATCTCGCTTCGATTGAAAGGAACGGGAACCGTGAAGAAGACTTTTATATTTAGCGTGTGTACCTGGTATGTCAGCTCATGAAGTAACGCTGTAGTGATGTCAAACCCTCTGGAGTTTAAACAAATGCAATGATAGACGTTTCAAAATTGAACTATTTAGTTGATAAATAGCAGACTGTGGTATACCTATCCAACAACAACAGCTGTGATTTGCTCTTTTGCTGACTTCCCTGAGATAAAGAAAACATGATTCACTTCAAWTCTATTGTTTTATTGTATGAAGTGACATTATTTGTCCCGACCTCTCCCATGGTGGGGTCATCTCTTTTATACAAATCAAGCTTCTCCTTCAGAACTCGGGAAAATTCTGTCAGCTTYGACGATTCTCTGAAATATAAAGAGATTGTGTCATCATCTTTACAGTCACTATGATAAAATCAAGATGTGGGTCAAAGTGTGTATGGAATCAGGGTGGCAAATTAAACTACCATAGCACAAGAACAACATTAATTAACAAAGAACTCACTGTCTAAATCTGACGCTAGGGTACTCCCCTAGGGCTGCACATAACGTAGCCAGCTGTTCTGCAAGTTTCTGCATAAACATTATAGGAAAAAATCATATATACAATCACTTCACAACTTTGAAAAATAAAACAAAATGAATAAAATAATTGAAGTGCTAACGTAACCTCCACCCCCCTTCTATATAGATGAAGGTCAAGGGGGGGTTAGGCCTACGCTTTTACTGACCTCCATGAACTCGATTCGCTCTGGAGCCCTGACTGAGGTGCGATAAAACATGCTGAACGCCTTAGGACTGTGCAGTGTAAATACCTATAAAACACAAGTATATTATTAGTCATAACAGCATCAATCCAGAGGGAGGTATGCTGGAACTTAAAAAAGTGTTACCCCCCGGTATTGTTCGTGTGCTCGTGGGGGAAGGGGAGGGGGCGTGATTTTACTGACTGATGCATTACATTGCAATGCAAACAGAACACTATAAAGTGATCGGACTAAGTTTTAAAACGATGAAATATAAACCTACCCTTGTTTCAAGTGGAACAAACGCCATATCGATTTCTTTGAGTGATTTGACATCTGAAAAATTAAAAACAGAAACTGGAAGAATTAGGCAATTTGCAAGACAGAGTAAAACCTTTTCTCAGAGTTGAAAAAACCGATGTACTTACAGCGTCTGATTTCTTTAAAATATGCCAGTAAGAAATCGGAGCAAACTAGAAAATAATTCGTTTGTTTAGAAAAGAGATTGAAAGCTGATTTAGAAGAAAATCAAAATCACCTTCTGTAAAGAATACGTGAGCTGCTTTGTAGGTTAGAAAAAACCCATCTGCAAAATCATTGACAATCGTTTGGATGGACTGAAGGAAAGAAAAAAATTATAGTTTATCACATCCTTGAAAGAAATTTTGCCAAGAGATTTTCCGGCAGCATTGCCTTAACACAGGAATCCCAGGAGGTTGACTTTCTTTCGAAACTTTCCTTTTTTTAACTTTTTTCGATTTGATTTGATCTTTCTTTTATTCTGTAGTTTCTTAAACCATTTCGGCGTTTTCCCTCCCTTTTTTATTACATATTTTTTCCACATTCCCTCCTTCCTTCCTTTCATCCTTGCATCCATTCCTTCCCATTGCCCTACTAACACCGACTAGTTACACTTACCTTTGGATTAGGAGTGATAATGTATATTGCCTCAAGTGCAGGAAGTGGTTCTCTATGTTTCTCAAGGCTTTCCACAACTATAACATATCCAAACAAAAAACTTCACCAATAGTCACCTCTCCTCATCGGTTCACCCTTCCCCCTCCCATATAGACGCCACGCAGCCAATGCTAATCAATTCCCTGTCTACAACTTTCGTTTAGTAGGGATAATACATATTTTTACGGCCAGTTCTGATATGTTGAACTTACGCTACCAATTCTTACGTGTTATTCCGTGCTCAACCAAATCGTGCATTTTCAAGCAAGATGACAATATCTTTGAACTTAGATTATCCATTACGAGAACCTAAAAAAATAAACTTAAAGTTAAATAAATATGGTATTCGTTCAAATAATTTTCTTGATATTGTAAAAAAACTGTTGATAATCTAACCCTCCATTCTCCTTCTTTGTGCAAAGGACCAAAGACAGTCTCGATAAAACCTGTTAAATAGCGAAAAGAAAGATAGAAAAATGCAATAAATTCCTTTATGCTATTCTTATTATGTCAAAATTACTTACGTCTGCTAACTGCAGCTTTTAACGRCATTTTCAATGATTTTCGTCTCTTTTTGCACTGCAAGTTTTCTCAGTTGGTCGCCATCTTGTTACTAGTTCCCAGGTTTCCCGCACAGGAAGCCCAGCTGTAATTTTTTGTGTGTGTAGTTTTGAAATTAAGCGGCGACAGAGCGAAAGGAAATTTTATGAATTCAATGAAAGAGTCAAAAACAAATAATGTAAAAAGAAAACAAATAAAGAAAAAGCAAGCGCATGAGGCTAAGTAAACACTAAAGAAATTAGAAAGAAACTTGATTGCTTCTTTAATTTACTCATGTTTTACAAGATCACATGTGAAATTGTTGTAAGACCGAACAAAAGAGCAATTTAATAAAATAGAAATCCATATCTTTTCATTAAAGCTTATATCTCTGTGAAAAAGGTTATGAGTCGTATAACGAGATACCCTGAGAAGTACATATGTACTTCTTATGTACTTCTGGAGATACCCATGAATTAATACTCAAAATATCAGGAAATTACAAAACATATTCCTCTCGATCTCACCAGCGAGAACTAAATTCACATTTCGTGTTTCACGATTTGAAGCGCGTTTAATTGAAGATTTCGTTTAGTTTATTTGGTCGCGCAAAKAAGATTAAAATGAGAGCTACTAGTGAAAATGGACGAAAGTTGGTTGCCCTGAAGAGTAATGAATGGGAGTTCTAATCTAAGTGAGTGATCTATACTGCCAAATTTTTGGCTAAAATTTAAATTTAATTTCCATCTTTCCATCGTTTTCTTGAACTTTCGAAACTCCACTTTAATCCACTATCCCATTTTGTCACTGAAAAACGGGCAAATCCTATAAGATACGTTCCCATATTTCGCCAAGTCAAGGAGAATTTAATTCATCATCTGTAATTAATCTTCACTACAGTACTTATATTAACCACACTTAAACAGGAAAAGATCAAAATCGAAATGTGTTAAAGTAAAATTAGCAAAACATCACTTCAACACTAAAATAATATTTATATATTCACAAGGTGTTTGCTCAGTGTGCGTCTTAAACAAATATTCACGATGATTGCGCTTATCTGATTGGTTAGTTTTGTGGGGTATATTTACAGTCAGTCTCAGATAAGAATTACAGTCAACTCTCTCGGAAGCGCCGACCACCCCAGGATCAGGAAAAAGTGGTCGTTTACGAGAGATGGTCGCTTACGAGAGGTTATTTTTACAAAGTTTATATGGGAAACAATTATAACGGGAAATTTAAAGGTGGTCGCTTACGGGAGATGGTCGCTTACGAGAGGTTATTTTTACAAAGTTTATATGGGAAACAATTATAACGGGAAATTTAAAGGTGGTCGCTTACGAGAGTGGTCGTTCAAAGAGAGTCAACTGCATGTACATTCTGGGAACATGATACYGGGAGAMGWTGCCTGTTGTCAGTGGTGACGGACGTGTTGTTTGTACTGCAATATAACGTGTCAAACTTGATCTTCCTTAGTTTTATTCAGCACTATATAACAGGAATAACCAAAGCGMTGTGGACGCTTTACGGGCAGACACGCGAATYRGATGGCACTAGAGGGATTAACTAGCAACACAGCCTACAAAGGAATACAATAGCATATGGATGAGAAGATAAAGGTCAATTCAAACTAATGTTTAATATTCTTGGACTTGTCACCTAAAAGACAGACCAACAGTTATTTGGATTTACACGCAAGTTAATACTAGAAAAAAGAACGGAACTTGTGGTTTTCTATTTCAAGGACTTAAGCTTAGAACATTAGAAAGAGCTACTCAAAACGAAATCTGCGAAAAATCCATGCGCAGAGTGAGACATATGCTTCGTTGTGACATGTACTGACCTGTACTCGTCGAAAGCCGCTAAGCGGTTTTTTTACTAAATGATTTACTATTCATTGCACGCCATGCATGKAAAGTGAAGTGCCGAAAGACCATTGCATTCACACCACACGCAAATGAACTAAGCGAAACCCAGTAATAGTAGAGGATATGAACTCTTCTTCGTCAGTAAGTCCTGACTTACAATTTTTTCTTCTGTYTATGACCGTCATCAATGCGGTAATCGCCATCTTAGCTGCATTCTTAAACTTCTTGATCATTTTGACGTTTGTGAAGACGACYTCTCTAAGAACTCCTTCAAACATCCTCGTCCTTGGTCTTGCTATATCTGATTTCTGCGCCGGGGTTATTGCAGAACCCATAATATGTTATCTGATGATAGTTTACCTCACAGGGAATATACAGCTTTACGAGGAACTGTATCGAGTACAAGACATTGTATTCCGAATTCTTTTACCTGTTTCTTTTTACACTCTTACTGCTATAACAATAGACCGTTTTTTAGCTATTTATCTCCATTTAAGATACCAGCAGCTTATTACAGGAAAACGCTATAAAATCCTTCTTGCAGCTGTGTGGATTTTGAGCATTTCTTGGTCATTGTGTGTGATGTACGTCARGAGCARAATACCAACCATTATTGACCTCGCGTTATTTATTGGTATGCTTTTGCTCAATGGYAGTTTTATTGGGTTYATTAACAAGGTGATAAAAAGACACTCAGCTGAAATAGACGCACAACACCAGTCAATTTCAACACTAAACTTGCCAAGATACAAGAAATCGGTGACAACTATGTCTTTTGTGATTGGTACGTTTATAATTTGCTACGTACCACATTCATGCGCTATGCTTGTGACTCTGATAAAKCCTACGTGGGACTCAAGGGTAATGTTTACTATAACCGAGACGTTAGTCATGATAAATAGCGTTTTTAATCCAATTATCTATTGTTGGAGAATATCTGACATAAGGACAGCAGCTCGGCAAATACTGCTGACTTGGTCTTAGGAGAGAACTGCTAATTGCAGTATTTGGACTAGAAATTATCTTGTACAAGTCCAAACAAATRTAGGCACGTTCTGAAAAATACAAACTTAAACGATGAAAAATAACTAAATAAAACCCAAGAAAATCCTCAATGTGTTCGCTTTTCTKAAGAGTCACGGCGGCCATCTTGCGTGGTTCACCAACATGGCCGCCGGCCTATTGTTCGTCTTCTGAAATGAAAACCATGCAGAATTCATATTCATTCAGAAATGCAACCAATTTAGATTTGGTGTTAAACAGCTTTTTGATTGCGTTCGTTTATGTGCGAAACAAACTTYAAAATATCCGGCTTTGATAACACTAAAGACGAAGTTTTTAAGGGTTTTTTTTTGGCTGGAATACCAATCACGACACTATGCTATCCCTTTGTGGTGRATAATTTGTGTTATATAGTTTAAAAAAAGATTAAACGATAAACGTATTGTAAAATTTTGATTTATTTCCACCCACCTTGTTTTCTTTACAGCAAATGTTTTCCTAATTCATTCAAATTTTATTACTGTCATTTAAAAAAAGTCAATTTCTTATTCCTTGGAATATTCGACTTATTACGATGCTATTTTCTAATTATTTCTCATTTTAATAATAATTCTTTTATTCATTTATTTTCATGGCCGTTGTAACCTTAAAGCAACTAGCTGCACGATTTACCAAAATTAAATGTGGGCGGTTTTTTGTCCACAAAMTAATGATGTTAGCGTCGAAGTAAATTAAAGTAATCGTTCAAGTTTTTAGACCAATTATCAACCGCTCTCGTTTCGTTTTTTTTTATAAATCTAGAAAATATAAATTAAATTTTGTACCCCTATACTATTTAAAGCACCAACAYGAGCTGCMAAATTATTATCGATTTTGTCGTCTTGTGCTTGATCTTTGAGATCTGAGAGTTGAAAAAAATCTTAGTAAATTACTGTTTTCTTAAATATCAGAGTAAACCATACTTTTTAAGACTTTTTCATAATATGATCACATGGTACAAAACCGCCAGGTTTGACTGCAAACGAACTTCAGTCACCAAAGGCAAGACTGCTAGAATGTATTTTTTAAAAAAACACTTTACGTTGACTGCGGCTTTCAAATCCAAGATGGGGGCCTTTGTGTCACGTGACCATTCGCCGCAAGGCTATTATTGAATGCGAAGACATTCAAATGAAATCTTACCGTATTGTTCCCATCAATAGCGGGTCTATTGCATACAACCACTCGTGAACCGCGTCATCTTGGTCTGATATTGGTTGCAGTAGGTAGTGACCTTGTCGAGTCCGTAACGAAAACACGTTATATGTCTACGGAAACGAGAAAACATTTCATATGTTTGCTTTATGCGTTTACGAAATGAGAAAATACGTAATATGCCTGCGCAAACGAATACATTATAATTCTACGGAACGCGAAAATGCAGAACGAAAAAATGCGTAAGTTGTAAAGGTAGGGAAAGATCCATTAAA